TGCGATATCCAGAGAAAAGAGTATTAGTTTGTAAACTTTTATATTGTTTAATGTAAGTTTTGCTTTAGACAAATATAAATGATGAATAAAAAGTTTATAGTCCCTTTAATAGATTAAAATACCTACTTGCGAAACGTACAATGGCCCATACCAAGACAAGGCACCAGTGGTAAAAGTAACACAAGTAAACCCTGCAATATTTACAGGGGTGTATATTTTCTCGAAAAATCGTGTCTTTTAAAAATCAGTCAGTTAGGACATTCGCTAAATTCGCAAAAAAAAATAAAAGAAGATTTACAGAAAATGATTCACTAAACTTTAATTAATAAAATCTTTAACAAAAACATTTCTCTACCTGCAACGTTGAGCAAATAAGATTTAACACCTAAAATAAAAATAATTTTTTTCTTCAATTTTTAACAATTTTAAAGAAGTCCAATCATAATACTTTAAAAGATGTGTTCGTTCAGCTTGTTTTTTAAGTTGTTCGTTTATCGTTCGTTATCGACCCATTTCTTTCGTTCATGAAAATAGCTTGTTCAGCAAAATGTTACGTTAGGTTCCAAAACAATTTTTTTAGAACATTCGTGAACGCTAAAGTTGCTAAACGACCAATTAAGAAATCACTCGTTAAAGCTGACTTTATCAATAAAATGCGAGCAATCGGTAACAATCAATTTTAATTCGTTTTGAAAATACAACCGATTTTAAATTTTCTGAACTATCCAGTTCGTTTGCTCATCCTTCCTTAATTTTTCTAAATAACGCCATCGCTCACGAACAATTTCGTAGGTTCAAGAAAATAATACCAATCTCTAGGTAGTTAAAGTTTTAGTATTCAAATTTAATTAATTCTAAACTCACCAAGAATGTATATGAGATCTTCAAAGTAGGATTTTCGTTCCTGAAGTAAATATACACATTGCACATGTTAAAAATAAACTTATATAAAAATAAAAAAAAATACCCTTTGGANCATCTCAAATATATAATCTAAAACAGAGGTTTATAGATCAGACTCATTCTCTTTGCAAAGAAAGGAACGAGTTTCAAATAAAAGTCAAATTTTATGAAAACCCAGCTAGTTTACGTTATTTACAAACTGATGAAAATTAACCATTAGGTTTCAAGTCTCAAATCCATATTTTAGAAATTGTAAAAATCAAGTCCAATCCTGTCTAAAATTAAACGGATTTGTAGTTTAACGGCTTAATTAAGCTAAATTCGTTTTTTTTTGCAATATAATATGAACCGCAAATTGGCACTTTAAATGGGTCTGTGTACACTGCACAATTGCAGTGTGCACTCATGTTAACTCCAATCTAAAAGTCGTCTTCCTATTCTTCTGGTCCTAACAGTATTAAAAGCCCTTAAATACCTGATTATGTTCTGAGATACCTCTAGGAGGATCTGTGAGAAAGAAAAGGATGAGCCCAACAGCAACAAAGTTCATACCTTAAAAAGTATAAAAGTTAAAGAGCTACATGAACAATTCACAAGGATAAGAATGAGAAAATATCTTTGGTTTTCCATCTTCAAAATACTAATTTTGTTCGTTGTCTCTGCTGCATCACTCGTTACTCTGGCTTATAAGCAAGAAATGTGCAAATAACATTTGCCGAGAAAGCATAACTAAAATAAAAAAATTTCTGGCTTGAAAAAAATGCACTTAAGCAGATTGTAGGAACATGACAATAGATTAGTTGGCAAAATAATTAGTTGGCAAAATAATTAGTTGGCATAATAATTAGTTGGCATAATAATTAGTTGGCAAAATAATTAGTTGGCAAAATTTTTAATTCGTAAAATAATTGGTTGGCAGAATAATTAGTTGGCAACATAATTAGTCGGCAAAATAATTAGTTGGCAAAATAATTAGTTGGCAAAATAATCTGTTGGCAAAATAACTAGTTGGCAAAATAATTAGTTGGCAAAATAATTAGTTTGCAAAATAATTAGTTGGCAAAATAATTAGTTGGCAAAATTATTAGTTGGGAAAATAATTAGTTGGGAAAATAATAATTTAGCAAAATAATTAGTTGGCAAAATAATCAGTTGGGAAAATAATTAATGGGCAAAATAATTAGTTAGCAACATAATTAGATGGGAAAATAATTAGTTGGGAAAATAATTAGTTGGGAAAACTATTAGTTGGCAAAATAATTAGACGTCAAAATAATTAGTTGGCAAAATAATTAGTAGGCAAAATAATTAGTTAGCAAAATAATTAGTTGGCAAAATAATTTGTAGGCAAAATTATTAGTTGGCAAAACAATTAGTTGGCAAAATAATTAGTTGGCAAAATAATTAGTTGGCATAATTATTAGTTGGGAAAAGAATTAGTTGGCAAAATAACTAGTTTGCAAAATAATTAGTTGGCATAATTATTAGTTGGGAAAAGAATTAGTTGGCAAAATAACTAGTTTGCAAAATAATTAGTTGGCAAAATAATTAGTTTGCATAGTAATTTGTTGGCAAAATAATTAGTTGGCAAAATAATTTTTTGGCAAAAACATGTAAATCTGACCAAATACTTTAGTAAATTGCCTATTGAAGGGTCACTAAAAATTCGTGTAGAGTCCCTTTAAATCTAAAAATGTAAACTAATTTATATAATATTTACCAGGGGTTATCCTTAGTCCATTCTGCCAATCAGCTGGTGCTCCTCCGATCACATAACTAAAAATAAAATATTTAGAATATAAAAATCGTCTGGATGGTAAAATAATGCAAAGGTTTGACATTTTCTAAATTGCCTTAGACTTAAAGGGACTATGAGCGATATTTCAAGTGACACTTCATGCAAAGATGGCAATGCCCGATTCACAATTTTACCATAACAAGCTTTGCTTGATCAAATATGAATTAGATATCATTCTTAATGAATTTCTACTTCAGAAAAACAGGAATTATAAGAGTTGGACCCTTTTAAAGCTATAAAAACGAGAAAATGTTACACATTGCTGATCAGATAAAGGATTCAAGAGTACAGTTGTGAATTGGGCATTGCCATCGTTACATCTAATGTCACTTGAAATTTCGCTTTTAATCCCTCACTAGAAATTGAGCTTTGTTCCTTAACTAAGCAATCAAGGGGAGGCGAATAATTCAATTTAAAAATGTTTTATAATAACAAACTCAAAAATTTGCCATAAAAATAACTTACCAAGATTTCCTTTTTGTGCTAAAATATTGGATGACAAATATAAAATATTTCTTCAATCTATGAAGATTAAAGAATGTGCTATCTTGCAGAAAATTCAAAATATCTTTCAGAATAATTAAAATATATTTAAGAATATTTTCAAGAACACATCTTATAAAATATCCTATAGTTAAATTAGCTTATGTAACAATTATGAAAATATCTTGCAGAACAATTTAAAAATATCTTGCAGTACAATAAAAAATTGCCGTATATTTTAAATTATCTTGCCGAACACTTCAAAAATAATTAAAAATATTTGACCGAACAATTATAAAATAATTTTCATAACAATTTAAACATTTTGCTGAATAATTTAAAATATCTTGTAGAACGATTAGAATGTCTTTCATTACAATTATAAAATATCTTGCAGAAAAATTATAAAATATCTTGCAGAAAAATTATAAAATATCTTGCGGTACAATAAAAAATTACCGTGAATTTAAAAATTATCTTGCCGAACACTTCAAAAATAATTAAAAATATTTGACCGAACAATTATAAAATAATTTTCATAACAATTTAAACATTTTGCTGAATAATTTAAAATATCTTGCAGAACGATTAGAATGTCTTTCATTACAATTAGAAAATATCTTGCAGAAAAATTATAAAATATCTTGCAGTACAGTAAAAAATTACTGTGAATTTAAAATTATCTTGCCGAACACTTCAAAAATAATTAAAAATATTTGACCTAACAATTATAAAATAATTTTCATAACAATTTTAACACATTGATGAACAATTTAAAATATCTTGCAGAACGATTAGAATGTCTTTCATTACAATAAAAAAATTGCAGAACAATTATAAAAATATCTTTAATAAAAATAAATTTTACCCAAGTCCACTTCCTACAGGTATTGCAAGGTAGAATATTCCAAGAACCAGAGATCTAAATAAAAAGATGGTAATTTTTTTCTTCAAGTTTTGGTGGAAAAAGTAAAAATTTGACGCGTTTTATTTTCATTGACACTTTAAGTCTTCTCCTAATAAATTTACTCTTTTTCCTAAAAATTATGAAAAAAGGGGTATCAGGGGAAAGATAAAAATAAGCCAACATTTTTTTTTTTTTTTTTTTTTGCAAACTACACATCTTCAATCTTCATACTAAAAATGTTATTTCAATGAAAATAGAAATTTGATGATCAAAACCAAATGTTCTGCATGGATTTTGTAAAAGGAAAAATAATTTGGATGAAATTAAACCCTCGATACAGGTTTTTATATGTTTTACCTTGAATTTTCATCAAACAGATCTGCCAGCACTGTTGGAGCTATCGTGGAAAATGCAGATTCACCTAAAATATCTCGCTTGAGAACCTAGCGTTGCCCAGGGTACTCTTAACTACTCACCACACGCCGTTTATCCGCGCTTGATCGAAAATTACGATTTGTTTTCCTATAAAAGTCGATCCACTCAATTAGGAATCTCAAACTAAGAAGATTTCTGTGGCTTTCCCGAGTTTCCCAATCAAAATTAAAGGCAAATCGGTCAAGAAGTTCCTGAATTATAGTCGGCCATACAATAAAGAAACAAACAAACAGAGATTACAACTTTAAATCTTCTATATAAATACTTATCTAGAGTCTAGACCGGTATGATGTCATATTAACCTACCTATTGTAATACAGGCTCTCAGAATTAGAAAGGACCATTATGATGCCATTTTAACCTACCTATTGCAATACAGGCTCTGAGAATAAGAAAGGACCAGTATGATGCCATATTAACCTACCTATTGCAATACAGGCTCTTAAGAAAGGACCAGTATGATGCCATATTAACCTACCTATTGCAATACAGGCTCTAAGAATTATAAAGGACCAGTATGATGCCATATTAACCTACCTATTGCAATACAGGCTCTGAGTATTAGAAAGGACCAGAATGATGCCATATTAACCTACCTATTGCAATACAGGCTCTGAGAATAAGAAAGGGCCAGTATGACGTCATGAAACTTGCAGTCAAGGAAATACCTCCCCAAAGAAAAACTCCTAGGAAAAAAGGGTTAAACATTTTCAAAAACAAGGTTAACAAAACTCAGTAACTCAATACTATCACTTTTACAAATCATGAGGTTTAAGCAATACCAATTTTTTCTTTTATTTAGTCAGAAAAGAAATTAAACGATTCAATATTCAACATTCATTATTTCAAAAGCTGATTAAAAGAGATCTTGAAAATTGGCGGTAATTTAAATAGGTCACCTGAAAAAAAATGTTCAAACTTTTATTTCTGATGATAGGTATTTGTGGAGCCATAAATTTAATGAACGTAAAACACAAGCCAATTAATCAAAATCAGAATTCTAAGCACTGCTTCATAATAAAGTTTGATTTTGATAACTCCAAATTAATTTTATATCATACAAAGTTAGCAAAGCTCATAGTTCAAAAACAATTTGCAAATATTTTAATATTTTAAATATTTCGAGGTGGGGGGTATTTTTACAATAATTTCACCTGCTGCTGGCAAAATAATTAGTTGGCAAA